CATTCAGAAAGAAATTGGACAGCCATCTGAGTGGGATGGTGCAATGTGGTGTCCTGCAACAGCAGGGGGTTGGACTTGATGGCCTTCATGGACCCTTCCAACTCTATTATTCTATGATTCTTTGTACTGGATGTGAAGCCAGACAAGACTGCTACAATCATGGTGCACCTTTGCATTTCCCAGACTCACCTATCTGGCCCTTACTTGAAACTGGGATGCTGGATTACCATTGCTGAGGGTGCCTTTGTTCTGATTCAGTAGGGCTCTTATGATCTACTTTTATATTAATAAAGTTTCAATGAGGCACTCCGAACAATAGTCAACAGCTATGTTAAAACAGAAAAGCATTGTATGAAATACCCTTATAGATTTAGCAACATTTAGCAACATTTCTGCAGTTATGCAGTTGAAGTTCTTCATTGGTTTGAGACTGCCCTATCCAAGAGTGGAAAACAAGTTTCCTCTGATGGATGTTTGTGTGTGTTAGTGCTAAGGTGCCTTACACTGTCCTGGCAGCTACTGCTTGTTCATTCCCCACCTTGTCTTTCCAGCTTGTCACTATTGGGAAATAAGGGAAATCTTCACTGAGTTCTCCCTCCTCCCAAATTGTATCAACGGTATGGAACTGTGAACACTGCCAGAACTTCTTTCAAGGATAAACACCAACCACTGCAAGAGCTTCCAAAGAGTGTCCTTCACCTCCTGAGTCTAACCAGCTCAACTCTGCTGATGTCCTAGGTATTAGGACAAAGAACAGTAGTATGAATTGCATGACTTCCCAAGTAGAAGAAAGAGACCAAGGAAAAAGAAGAATGAGGAGGAAAAGGACACAGAGTAAAAGTTAACCCCCTTTCATGATTTTTGAGACTCCTCCCACCCTTGCACTAAGATTCATTTACTCTAACCACTTATAGAGTACAGCTATCCAAATTCATTTAGAAACTTCTCCTGAACAAGCTCATCTGCTTTTGAAGGTACAGTACAGTTCTGACTATTTACATTATACTCCTACATCAGAAACTAAAATCCTTTATTTACAGTTCAGCTGTCAACTCTTACGTTCCTCAATAGATGATTTGTCGAATTATGTTTATGCCAGACGGCTGTTGAGTAGTAAAACCTCACATCTTTCAAGTATGTTGGTACATTAGACACATCATGTTCTTAAAGTGTATACAATAGAGATGCCATTAAGAGAGGGGAAAACTGTTCAACAGTAAATGGATTAATGCCAAATCCTTTTATTTAATTTCCCATACATATATACGAGTGTATGGAATAGCTGAAAGTTTGGGAAAAGGCTGGTAAAAATATAGCGATAGAAAAGTGACAGTAGCTTTATACATCATGCATTTGGCTGTAGGGCTTTTTGGGATCATAATCTTAAATGGGTTAATAATTTGTAAATAATTATGGTCAACTAACATTATGATATAGAACATCCAGAACAGCCATCCATTGTCCTATGACCATACAATCCTATCTTTAGAATGCACATGGATTTACCAAGGTAAATGACAAGTACTAGGCCCTTACTAAAAGTTTTATTTAAATTGTATAAAAGGTAAAAATACTTAAGGCAATTGGATAACTTTAAACATGTTGTCTGGCTGTCCTGTATGGATTCTACCCTAAAGCATACATGCGATCTTGTAGATGTTGCCAAACTCCAGTGCCCATCAGTTTCAACTAGCATAATTAATGCTCTGGGAAGATGGAAGCTGTCAGCTTGAGGAGCACGATTTTCCTTATGTCTTTGGCTTTTTAAAAAAATTGCAGATGCCTATTTATTCAACAACGGATATCAGTAATCAGTAAGGGTTTTCTAACCAATGATACTGAAATCATTCACAATGATTCTTAGATGTGGTATGGAGTTTAAAGCAACACCACCCTTGAAATATCAAGGCGGGGACTGAGATAAGCATTAAGGAACAGAGTATGGCAAAAATGCACTTTTCGTTCACTCAAGATCAAGGAAAAATTCCTTACATACTCAACTGGTAAGGAATGTACGCTTTCCACTCCATAATTTCAAGTATAAATGACGGATGTAAGGATTCAATGTATGAAGAGTTAAAGACCCCATTAATCTACATAGATGGAGAATGTGATAAGAGATAAGCTACTATGGTCAGCATATTGTCAAGAAAGGATGTTGCTAGGGATACAATCTTAACTTTATGGATCATCTTGTTTATTTGAAAACTATAACTATTTATTAAACATTTCTCTAATCTTTAAAAAAAACACTGTAGCTACCAAAGACTTCTTGGTAGCTGGCTATAAAAATGTTGGTGGGTTTCTAAAATTCAGTATAATGAAATAGAATCAATTAGTGTGGAGGGAAGAAGTTTATAGGGATTATCTAAATTACTTAAAATAATAATCATCAGAGAAAGAGAAAATTCAGTTTGACAGTATCACCTTCCTTTAACAACTCTGCATTTTACAAACAAGCATATCTTTGTGATGTAAAATGTTAAGTATTTATAAAAGGAAAAATGGAACAGACATTTCCTAAAAGCCTACTGAAGACAGATGAGCTCCATACACTTATATTTCAACATTTTTATTGTTTTTTTGTGTTGGGATAGGGACAAGGTAATTTTGTCTGGTGGAAAATTTAGAGCAAAGTGTAACAGCTTCTTGATGGCTGTGTTAAAATGCGTATCAGGAGGCTGCAGTCAGGAACTAAAGGATGGCAAGGAAGGGGCTGCTTAACCCTTTCCCATTGCGACATTTTGGGGAAACATTTTGAATGGAAATCAATGAACAGTCTCTGATCTCTGCTGCTTTGTGGTCTTTTTGGGCTCAGTCTCCCTTGGCTTCTTCCTGAGAAAAAGTTAATTTTAAAATTGTTGCTGGGGAAGTGGTTCATGCATACATTGTGTGATGTCTCAACTGGCCCACAGATTAGGTATTCATATATCGAGAGAGCTTCCACTGAAAAAGTGCTATCATGTTAGTCAGCCTGTGTTATGACTCCAGCAAATTTCTTTTGTTGTCAGACAAAGGAAAAGTTCCCACATGGAAGGGTCACCCTGCACATTTGGAAACATGTCAATCTCATAAGGGAAGAGACACTTGCCAAGGCCAAAAATGTGTCGTGTAGCCTCAGGATTTTGTAAGAAGCCAACAAAACCTCACGCAAGATCACAACAAACCTTTTTTGGAGATCTTGCCGATCATATGGCTAAAATGTCCATAAACTAGCACAAATTGTAATACTATGGCATACGGTTGTACATGAGGCAATTTAACATTGTTCCTGATAATGAGAAGGTAACATTTCAATATCTTTACAGGCCAAAATAAATCGGTGCAATAATCAAAAGTTCAGTCAACATAACCATGGACAGCTATAAAAACACAGGAGGGTAAAAAGTTCATTTAAGCTTAACAATCACCCTTTCTGGCCTGAGCTTACAAAGATGAGTCCAAGAAAATGTTCCCAGAGTAACAGAGAATATAATAGCTAATTATTACTGTCAACAGCTTAATACAATTAAACTAGATCCTCGCTTTCCCATTAAGAGGATTGTTTTAAGTGCTGCAGTCCTTTCAATAGCCTAGACCTGCTCTATTTTTCAGCAAATGTGTGCAGAGATTTTAACACACAAATCAAGTAAAATTATCCAGCATTCTAATACCAATGCTGAAATTTCCTTAGGAAATTAATGAAAACCTCACTATTCCCAAAACAAATTTTAGCCCTTGTCATAACACTGAGAGTTATTGCTGCTGATCCATTAACATCTACTTGTTTAAAATATTTTGGTATCATCCTTCAATTAAAATTTTCCAGGGCAGTTTACAATAACTCATAAAACACAAAATACTCACAGCATTACATAATAAAAACATCAATTATCCATAAAACAGCTAACAGCAGCACTAAAAGCAACCACAACAGAAATATGAAATCAATCACTGCAGAAGCATGTGCTTCCACGCACACTAGTAAATCAGCTTCTCTTTCCATTTTACTGAAATCTTAGAAGACATTCTTCCATGAGCCGGAGAGACAGATCAATATCTTAATAACACAATAACTTTAAAAGCTATATGGCTATTCTCAGTCTTCCCTGAACACAGAGTCATCGTGGATATGCCTCATAAGCAAGTTCAGAACACAATGGCTGGATCATCAAGTGAGAATCTACAAGCAGGCAAGACCTATTACATGCCACCAACTAGCTTTTCGTATTACATTGTCACAGTGAGGACAGTCTGCACAGTCACCTGCAAATGACCTACCTTATGCCACTGTGGATGAGACATAGGCCACTGCTTATTTATTTTGGAATCTATTTTTGGCTTCACAGTACCTCACTGTACGCCATTAAGCTGATGGAGGGTGGACAACTGATTTTGCCAGCTTAGTGCCAGCTGGTGGGCTGAGTTGTATATATAGTGAGTCGAATTATATCTAGAGGGCACCACACTGGAGAAGGCTATGTTATATCCTCTCTGCACTCAAATCTACATAATCTGAGTGGTGATCACAGCATTTCACATTGACACAGAATCAATTTCTCTGCACTGGCCTTATGGAAGCCTATTCCTACTGCTGTATCCAAAAGAGCAGTGAGTGTTGAAGATTGGCTGGCCTTTTGAAGTGATCTCCCTCTCCCTCTTTTACATGCTATTGCCAGGCATAAAAGAACTTTTAAACAATAATAAGATATGAATCAACTTTTTCACCAGTGCTTGGGGGTGGGTGGAACTGAGCGGAAGACAGACCTGTGTTTAAGCATAAATCTTCAGCATAATGTACATCTTGAAGAATCATCACTCTGTTTTTCCATTATTTACAAATTTTATAAAAGCATATGAAATACAAATGTTTGCTCAACCCTCTTAAACATGGCCACCCTAGTTAAAGCTGGTTTTGGATATAATAAGCAGTGTTTGGTTATACAGATTTTTATCCAAGAAGCCATTCATTGGTGCTTACCGGTGTTGTTAGTTCTGAATATGACTCACTCAAGACTTACCGACGCTGCATTCTTTGCTACATGTCCTACAATCACAACAACTCTCCCTTTAAAGCTCTGAAGTGTGGAAGTAGCAGCACACTGGATGAGCTCTCCCTCTGTAGTGAACGCTGATCCAAATGGGATACTGATGCTACCTGATATGTGCCCTCGATTAAAACTGAATGAGAAGAGAATCTGTTAAGGAAATCATTGAGAGGTGGTGAAAAACATGTTATACTGTGGTATATGAAAACTAAGATGGAGTTAATGCTGTTTGTACTTTTTGTGTTTTATCTGGGTATTTTATTATGTGTATATGGGGTTTTTATGTTGTAACCTGTTCAGAGAACCCTCTGGGCTATTAGGGTGATATATGAATTCAACCAACCAACAAACCAAGAATTGGATATTTTTTTCATGCTTTCAACTCAATCTGCCCTGGCTACCACATTTAAGGCCAGTACTCTCTTCAGAAGCCATCATATAAACCAGGGGCCTCAAACTCGTGGCCCACGGGCCAATTGCGGCCTGTGGGATGATATTTTGTGGCCCCCACTTGATATCAAAGTTTAGTGATAGTGCGGCCTGCGCGTTTTTCTCACATGCACCTGCAGTGCACTTCTGAACTCAAAGCCAAGTTCGGGGAGGTGAGTGGAAAAGCAGACTAGCTTGGACAATTTTTGAGAGAATTGCCCCTTACCTTCCCTGAGCTTTCCAGGATGTTCAAGCGGACCATGTGCCTTTTCGGGAGCACCTATCTGTGTGAAAAGCTGTTCTCCACCATGAACTTTAAAGTTCAGGTCCAAACTTACTGATGAGCATCTTCAAGCCATACTGAGGGTCTCAGTTGCTTCCTCCCTCAAGCCAAATGTGGCTCAGCTGTGTAAGAGGAAGCGCTGTCAGGTCTCTGGCAGCAAGGAGTAGGAGGAAGTAAGAGAAGCCTATGTTCTGAAGAACCATTCATGTTCTGAATTATTATTAGTAAA